TGTGTGTACATTAATGAGGAAAAAAATGAACTTAAATGATTTTAGCATATGGCTGCAATACAACAAAGAGTGAAAAATTTAAGGGGGTTTGAATACTTTCCATACCCACTGTAAATCCTGGCTATGAGGTCATGAATCAAGTCCAGGTTCTAAACATTGTGTTTCAAAAAACTGATTTTAAAAATGTGCATCTATGACTTTCAAATAAAGTTTAGAACATTCAGAAGCTGTGTGTTGGTATATTATTCCTGTGACACAGTTACAATCATTTGCATGTGCACCAAGCGACAACCTCTGAGGCTGAGAAATGAAGCCAGTGCCAAAACCTGCAATTCCTTGAATGGCCACTTGAGGCTGACTCCAAAAAAAGGAGGCAGTCCCCATAAAGTCTCCTGGTAAAATGCTGAACTTTATAGCAGAAATCATTGTGTTTACAGCCTGGTACAAAAACAGTTTTGGTCTTTATTTGAATACTTTCCGTACCCACTGTAAATCCTGGCTATGAGGTCATGAATCAAGTCCAGGTTCTAAACATTGTGTTTCAAAAAACTGATTTTAAAAATGTGCATCTATGACTTTCAAATAAAGTTTAGAACATTCAGAAGCTGTGTGTTGGTATATTATTCCTGTGACACAGTTACAATCATTTGCATGTGGCAACCCTGATTCGAACCCGGGCCGCAGCAGCGAGAGCACCGCGCCTTAACCACTAGCCTAACATATCGCTATCCACATGTGATTGTTATCCTAACGAGTGTAATCTGGGATTGTCTGCTGTTTGCGCTGCCAATGACCTACTGCTCGTACAAAGGGACTGGCTGCTCTCAAATTCATTCAGAGTATATTTGTTGTATATTGTTATTTAAAAACATATCATCTTTGGACTTGGGCAGGACATCAAGTCTTTCCAAGTTAAGGTTAAAGTCCAAACCTCTGTTTTAAAAATAAATATTCCACACTGACACTGGACAAATGGCAATTTTTCTTTGTAATCTCATGGATTCATACCTTTTCGCTCCTTCACACCAAAAAACAAGACGGCAGCACAGAGGATGTAGATGATGGAGATGACCCCTGAAGCAATCAGGTAAGCTTGTTTCTGAGGACAGAAAACACAGCATTAGCTTGGCCCAACACTCATGTACATGCTGTAATGAATAGCTGTAAGTATCCTGTCTGTGGCATCACATGTGACTCAAACTCACTGTTTTCTCCAGTGAAAAGCTGGTTGAGTTGACTTGGGATGAGTTTCTGCTGTCGGGGACATCAGGCTCAGTGGGACAGTCTGAGGTGCCACCCACGATCTGTCCCTGAATTGCTGTGCCTAGCACCATGCCTAGCACCTCCACCGTCATACCTGAGAGAGGAATGTAGCATCAGGGCATGATCAACAACACACAGGTAAAAAAAAAAAAAAAAACCTTCTCATTACACAGGAGGGCGGACATACGATAGGCAGTGGCAGAATCCCTCTCCTTCTGGTCACTGCTTATGAACATAGTGAGGGCAGAATATGGCACATGGAAGCACTGCAAGTGTACACAAACACACAGTTAGATAGGGCACAGAGAAAAGGAACAAAATATTGGGGGGTGTCAACACTAGGCACTAACCGTCTGCATTGACTGGAAGAGGCAATAAAAGATCAGAAACCAGACGACCTTCCCCTGCTCAAAAGGCGGCACATACCAGATTAGGCAGTAAGTCAGCACTGCAAATGGAGTAGAGAAAAGGATCCTGGAAAGACAGGAGTGGAGTATTGTTTAGGAGACATCGTAATAAAAAAAAAAAAAAAAAAAATTCAAGATAATACATCTCAGTATTTGTAATATGTCTGTTTAGCATTGTTTGTAATTTGAGTTTCATGCTGACGGGCTTGAAACAAAAGCAGCCACCTTGTGTTTCACACTTTCTCAGTCTATTACTGTACTTTAATGTCCCGCTTTAATTTTTTTCCTCCCTTGAAGTCACTCTTTTTCTAAGCTCTCCCTGCTGCTTTGTGAGTAATCCGCCTAATCCTGCTCATGTGTGGAGAAAGGCTTCAGTCAAGGCTTCATAAGGAGACAGGGCCCAGCAGTGGGGCCGTTCTGGCCCACCCACCTCCCTCAATCAACAGCCTCTTCCTTAACCTTGTATGCCTTTGCGCTGACCCCAGAGATCAGTCAATAAAAAAAAAAAAAAAGTCTAGCTAAAACTCTCGGTGACAATGAGGGAAGCCCCACGACTGAAGAGAAACATTTCAGGAAACCATACGTCTCTTCTTGGCAGCCACACACCCTGATAAAATAGGAAGAGCTTAAAATAACTTGCAGATATTCTCTGACTTAAACTCCAAATTTGATTAATTGGGGGAAAAAGCCAGAAGATTAATGGAAAATGAAAATACCCATTACTTACAGCACTCAAGTGAAGCATAGCACTTCTTTTCTCTTTCCTGCGGTGCTGTAAAATAACCGCAACCCAACATCTACATTTCTACCTCCACTTTTTGTTCTTGAGGTGTCATACAGGAGAAATAAATGCTTCCTCTCACTGAAGGCCATATCGCCAAATACAGAGTGAACGTATGCACTCACACATAGTCATATGACCCCCCCCCCCGATGCTGTGACTGTTTCACATGCTAACATGGCTGACTGAACACAGGCCAGACTCTTTGTGTTGAGGTCTTTAAGGCATATAGCAAGACAAAATGTTCCATTCTAGTTTTTTGTCGTGTTCAGAAACATGTTCTTATCTGACAGCTCTCAGTCTGAAAAGCTACCCAAGCCACACAGGATCATGTACATGTTGCCTTTTTAAACAACCTCCATTATTTTAACAAAGCATGCTTCTTGACCCAAGGTTACCTCTCTCTGCTTCTGCCAACACCCTCCTCCTACACAGAATAAGGAAGTCATACACACACCCCATTGGTGTGAATATGATGGTGTGTTGTGGGTTGGACCAATTGCAGCAGATGCTGACAACCCCCCCCCCAACCCCACGTGCAGCTCACACATAGCCAGCATTTCTTACTCAAATACCCACAATGCCTAAGATAACTCAGATATCTTGGGTGAGGACAATGGTGTTAGGTATTTTTAGTCAGATAGATACTTTATGTATTAGAAATGTTTAGTGGAGATAGGATGTCTAGTTAGACTGTTAAATGCTTAGTCATGCTTATGAGTTTCTACAGGGTACATCTGGTCAAGGATAACTAGAGAGAAGAGTTGATGACTGTCAGCAGACAGGGTGTTTAATATTATTATTATGACGTGTAGAACTGTAGCCTTAGCCATAATATGTTCTTATGTTTAAGTCACGACATGTACTAGAGGTCGTGAGAATGTTTTTAGCTACACACCACTTAACCAACAGACACACACATTCACACGTTGATTTGCTT